GCTAATAAAATGCATTTGAGTCAGAAAGAAGCAGTGATGCTGCTTTTCCAGTTAGCTCTCACCTTGAGAAAGTCTGGCTGAGAGGGGCTTGTTGCCCAGAGGCAAGGTGGCCCAGACTGACCCAGCCTGGCCCAGCCTGGCCATTGTTTTGCTGGCCTTCAGTGCCCCAAAGCAACCCCATGCCTTCCTGGCTTTACGTGCTTCAGGCATCCAAATGTGCCACGAATTTGTCTTGCAAAGCAGGGCCTGCTTCTGTTAACAGCAATTAATCACTTTATGGCTATTCTTTTATTATTACGAACACAGCAGATGTGTTTCCATTAATAGGTCCCCGAGTGAGCCTTATCCAACATCTCGGATACTTAATGAAGGAGATTATGTGGCCTAAATAAAGCTTTCATTTTCATCATCCTCTTTCTATCTGCACTACCAAGTAAGCAAACAACATGAAGTGGGAATCTTGTCACGGGCTCGGTTACAGTACATAGGACAAACTGCCTGCCAAATAATAACATGCGTCCACTACTTTAATGTGATTAGTAATCACAAAAACTTGCGCTGGTATTTTTACAAGGGTCTGAAACAAAACATTAAAAACAAGCACGTAGATGTCTTTAGCGGTAATTCAAAGCTCTCCGCTTCCCCAATTAACCTCAATATTTGAGCAATGAGAGGGAGGGCAGCTGGCTCCCTGGGGAAATGTCTGCCTCCAGAACATTGTTCAATCTCAGGGAATTTTTCAAGCGTGCTGGTTGCCATTAAAAAGTCATCACTTCCAACAGTGGCTACGACCTAGCAAGTCTTTGGGTGCTTATAAAATAGCGTCTAACTAATGACAGCGATCGGGAGGGTTGCTCAGCAGTGGCACATGCGGCTTCTTCACAGGAGTCGACACAGCCACGTGCTGGGGGAGCTGGGCTCAGGTGTGCAGGATCAGACCCACGAGGGTAGGATCTTCATGGGGTGTACAACATCCCCCTGGGCTGGGCTGAGCATCCCTGCACCCAGAGCTGCTGTTTGCAGGCAAAGTAAAGATCTCTGCACCTGGTCCTGAGCCTGATGCACGGCCCTGGTGCTGCTCTCCACCTGCATCGACCTCCCCTAAAATAATCAGCAGGAGCCTCTATGCTTACACGGAGACCCTGAAGGCAAGGACCAATGTCTACAGAGAGCACAGGGCATGGCTGCTCTCCCAGAGCACAAGAGGTTTTGGGGAGCGGATGGTTTCCAAAGCATTTCCTTCAGCAGGTCAAACTCTATATTCACTTTTGCTCCCCTAAATTATTTCTACAATATTCTTTCTACCCAAATGGCTTTCTCACCATTTTTCTGCTTTGCATTGTCTGAGGCTTACTGAAATTTCGTCTGTAACTTACTTGGATCCCAAAAGCAGATAGTCAAGAGGAGATATGTACCCCTTATTCCCAGCACAGTAAATAGAGGAGGCAGCTCCTGGTGTAATACAGACAGAAAAAGCCCTGTGCATGTCAGACAAGTCCTGTGGGGTTCATAAGGAGCACCTCCACTGTATAAACATATCGTATAATTTTAAAACCCAGAAGGATCATCTAATAAATTCTCTAGATCTGTCTTCCACTGGTCTGTGCAATGAAGGGTATTAAAATATGTAGTGTCTGCAGCATGGAGCCACTGGGGAGGGAGCTCAGCCACTCAGGCTGGAGCATTAAGCCATTAGACAGTGACAAACTGTCCCCCTTCTTGTGCACAAGGTGGGAGCATGGTCACTGGGCATTGTTCTGCAGACCACGGTAATTCATGAGTGTGTTTTCAGGCCCCTCATGAAATGCTTGAGGCATGACAGAATGGAAAAACGATGAACTTTCTTTCTCACACACACCAAAACAGCTTTACCGTGAAAAATGCAGATAACTAACAAATGATCTCCCTTAACCCTATCTCTTTAAAGCAAAACAAAACAAAGTGCTGCGTTTTTAATTAAAGCCCAATTAATTTGAATAAAGTGAGGAAATCACATCTGGGCTGTTGCTGCTATACAGCTTCTAACCACAGCATGCGTGAGGTTACGTCAAGGACTTGCTTGTCAATTTTGCTTTAACTCACATATGGCACCGGGTTTGAAAGAAAACCCAAGAGTTTTTACTTTCTGCAGTAAAAGCCAAACTAACATAAAATGAGATTAATGGCAACAGCAGTGACTGCTTTCATTTCCCAATGAACTTTCTCAATAGTACCAGTAATCAAGATCAGGTTGGTTGTTCTTTTTTTTTTTTTTTCTTTTTTCAGAAAAAACAACTTTTCATCAGAGAAAAGAAAAAGAGATACTTAAAATACATAGACACATCTGTTCTCCCATATTAACAACATTACGTCTTTCTCCATGTGATGCATAATGAATCATCTCAGTGTGTTTTGCTTTATAGTTTTGTACAAATCCAATTCCTTATGACTATTACTGTAATAATAATATTTTCCAATTCAACAATACCTTTTGAGTTTTCCAGTTCGTGAAACTGTAACTAGAAGTGAGGCATGTTGAACATATCGAAACAGAAAAAAAAATAATAATAATAAAATAAAAAGACACAGCTATAATTACCAGATTTAGAATTTGTCTCATAATGGGGAGAAGATAGTGGTGCATGTAATATTAATTTATGCAGATATATAATTTTCACAACAGTTTGGTTAAAGAAGACAGTGTTGTCATCTTCCTTTTTAATGCTTGGAAAAGCAAGATCTAAAGCACCTTACACATACATTCATCTTTTTTCATCTCTTAAAAAAAATAAAAATAAATAATAACTAAAAAAAAAAATCAAGGCAGAGTCCTGCAGCTCATTGGTCTTTTGGAGAGCTGGTGCTGAAGCTTCAACTGAGCAGGGAGCTGAGCATCCAGCATGCTGTGCTCTTCAGATGCCCTTGGGCAAAGCTTGCCTTTGTGGGCTTGACTCCGTTAGTACTGTCCTTGTGGGCTAAAATTATATCTAGATTTCTTTTCCTTCCCCATGGGAAAGGTAATCTGAACTAACTTTTTCCAATGAATTACTTAAAATGCATTAAGCCCCTGTGCAGACACCAGATTAGTGAGGATTAATTCCTGTAAACAGGTACCAAAGCCATATCTACATGCTCCCAGTCAGTGGAAAAACAGAAAACCTGGACACCTACAGCAGTTGTAGGGGAACTGTTAATCTGATTTGGCAGCACTAATTAACAGTTCCTCGAAAGATATAGATCCTGATTCATTTGACCATGTGTCTTAAATGCTACATGAGGACAAAAGTCTTGTTTGTGTCTGCTACCAACATCCACCGGGAGCAGAGGAATGTTTTCTGCTGCATGGAATGATAATGTCAGCTCTTCATTTATTTATTTATTTTTGGAGAGGGAAGAAAAAGCAAGAATCCTTGATTCAATTAAGTCTTAGTCATGTAAATAGTTGGGAGTTTCCAGAAAGCAATGTCTTTCAAGCAGGATGCCAACGTAGTGTATAATTAAAATGTAAAAAATGTAGGAAGGTCGCCAAGCCTTTGATTATAAACAAGATTTTCCTAACCCACCCATGATTTGGCATTTTGATCCTGAAATTTATCAACAGGAAAAGGTGATGATTTCTTTTTTTGGACTGGAATGGAAAATAAGTTGGTTTGTAGAGAAATAAATCTTGTTCACAAACTTTATTTGCTCATTACAAAGGCTTTTAGTATTTGATCGCAGTTTAAAAGAGAAGGATTTTCTGGAAGGGATTTTTGTTTTGTTTGATTAGTTGCTTTATATAATAACTGCTTTCTATTGTATAATATGAAAAGCAATGCAAAGTAATCAGCTTTTACATAACAACAATTTAATTATAATAATTTAATTCAGCTTTACTGTGCTGTACCAAAATGATAACAAGACTAAGCCTGACATTGGCAGCAAATATCAGTGTTTAACACAGAGGAATCCCAAAACATCCTTGAACGCTTTCTCTGGTTCCTCAACCAGCACTGCTAAGCAACTTCATTATCAACCCCTACACGGTTTTGTTATTTACACTCTCCTCTGATTTGGAAATCAGACAGAGCCACTGGCATAAGGGGGCTGAATGGATCATCAGCTATGTTACTGTATAGAAGCAATATCTGCAAGCAGGGTCAAACAATGGAAACCTGATAATGTCCTACCCAAAGCCTCTAAGTTCAGGGACATTTTTTCCATGAACTTCAAGCGCTGAATGAGGTGGAATTTTAAAATGCAATATTGTCTTCTACTTTGCTACACTTATCCTTGCATAAAAGTAGTCTTTAAATGGAATATTGTAAGCAATAAATCTTCTTACACTAAATAGAAAGGAGGAAGAGAAAGGAAAAGCTTTTCAAACTCTAACTTTTACTTATTATAAATTTTCTTCTGGTATGGTCAAGTCTTTAAGAAATGACAGAAAGCTGAATCTGTTTCTGGTAGGACTTTTCCATCCAAGCTCTTCAGCGGTCTTTTCGTCATGAACATCCATAAATGCCTTTTGCCAGCACTGGCTGCTCAGCCCAGCCAGTGAAACAAACCCTGTCCAGCGGGGAGCTACTTGGTCAGCTGTGAAGTTCAGCCTTCCCAATGGGTTACCTCTGGTGTCCCAGTTGGGTGCATCCACATGAAGGAACACAAAACCCTAGGAATAAAAAACCCTGGACACATGCGCTGCACCCTGCTGACCTGGGGTTCAGCCCCCAGGTGCCTCACTTGTGTAGGAAGGAGTCTCCAAATAGCTGTGATCTACAGAATAAAATCTTTAGACTCCTTGTCCTGTTGAACATTTACTTTTCCTTGTAGCACTGCATGAAGCCCAGGCTTTACATTGTAAAGCACAAACAACTAAGATCAGTACAAGATCACAGAGCATCTACACTCCGCGATTAGCCATTCGTGAACAGTTGGGCCAACACATTTACTTGTGGCTTTGGTGTCAGGCACAGCCCTTCCTATCTTTTTATTGACAGGATCATTGTAATAAAGCTTGAACTTTCACAAAACACAAGCTGTGGGATTCCATCAGAATTTATTTGTTATCAGGCAGATAAAAAAAACACTATGCCTAGAAAATAAAAGGAGAAAAAAAAAAAAAAGACATATATAATTCAGCTACATTTTTCAAAGTGCATTTGTGTGTTTTAATATAGCACCAAGCATGTTCACATTTTTTTATTACAGAATATAACATTCAGCAGCCTGCTATACAACAGTTCAGGCTGTTGGCAGCAACGAGCCAGTTTCCATTTCTTTGAGTGCAAGATTCAGGGTGTGGAAACTTTCTACTTCCTTGGAAACTCTTCTGAAAACGGGTTTTCACTCAATTCAGCCTCTAAGTGTTTAAGAGGTGACTGAAATTCTGAAAGTGGACTGACTGCTTTAGTGCCGTTGGCAACCTTGGGAAGTTTCTCACTATGTGAAGGAAAAGGGGGGGGATAACAGTAGGGGAAAAAAAACGACATTATTAAAAATCTAACTCAGGATTTTCAATGAGCACCTTCTCTCTCTCTTCTCCTACTCCTTTGAAAAGCAGGAGGTGAAAATAGCATGATACTTTTCACTTCAAAATATTATTCACCCTCTGCATCAAAAATTCTACCCATGCAGTTGTAGCTTCACGTTCTGCTATGGCTCAGCACCACTGATTCAGTGTGGTTGGCTAAAGGCTTTATTTAACCAAAAAAAATAAAAATAAACCACTTCAGAAAATTCCCATCATTGTCCCTGTAGCATACAAGACTTTGCCTGACTTTATGTATGTCATGACTGGAAGAATATTCCAAAAAAAAACAACTAGTAATAGAACTCTGCTAGCTGACCTGAGGTAGCAAAACCCATAGGATGGGATTCATTTCCCCTAAGTTTACTGATCTAAAGTCAGGCATCTATTTAAAGACGGATGTCTACAGTTCCTCCCGAGTCCCCCAGGGCAGACGGCTGCTTTCAGCGGGTGATTCACCCCGTCCAGGGTGGGTGGATGAATCACCCTCTGGATGCTCCTGCCACGGGCTGCTGACAATGGCAGAAAGCAGAGGATGGTCTCCAGCCATGTGCCACTCCGAAATGGCTGCTGTGGGGTGGGATGAGTGTTGGGCACGCATTTCTGTCCCCTTTGGGGCTGTTGATGGCATGCAGGCTTGATGGAGGATGGGGAAGGCTTGTCCTTGCAGCCATGCTCATACCGATGCTCCATCTGCCAGGTCAAGAGCCAGCATTTTGTTGCCTCAGATCTACAAAACCAGCAGCAGCCTCCACAAAGCTGAAGGTGAGCATGTAGGCACTGTCCAGCATCATTAATAGGTCACTGGTGAAGAAATGGGAAGTTCTGTGGCTCCTGTGTAGTCAGGGAGTCCTCCAGAGCTGGGCTAGAAAAATACATTCCTTAAAAACGCATCGTGATCTTGGTCCATCTACCAGATGTTGGCACCTTAGGAGAAAGGACAAAACTACTCAAAAATTCAAAAGCAGGAATAAAAACAGCATTTCTCAGAACTTATTCCAAAAGAGATGTCTTACCTTCCTGAAGCTGTATCTCATCTCACTGCCTCTGATTTCACAACAATACCACCAGTTCGGGGTCAGTGAGCCAACAGTCCGATGAAGATGGACACGTGGACAGGGAGCTGTTTTGCTGGGCAGCACACGAGTAGGAAGTATGACCTGCCAGTATCAGCAGGTATAAAGAAAAGGCAATATGTTACCTGTTTTTAAGCCTGCTTTCCCCCAAATGAGTGCAGCAAATGGCCCCCGAATTTGCAAAATGCTTTGGAATAATTCAGGTTCTGGCATCTGCAATAGAACCTGGTAACAATGCTCTCAGTAATCTCACAGGTTTATTGATACCTTAGCATGTATCTCAGATATTGGGCAGCTGCAAGACTGCCACACAATACAGAAAACTTCAGAAACTTGTGCTAATAGCTTGCTCCATTGCACTATTTACAACACATATAACGGGCTGGAGAAGTGTCCCATAGCCAGAGATTTGATATATTTTTGTGCAGTATTTAACAAGACAGTCATAAGCTTTTATGAACTTTCTGCCTAGCTGGAATAGTCTGATTTGTGTCTCCACTTAACCTTGTTCTCTTAATCTTGTCCTAATCTCACTTCTTTACTTTTTTTTTTACTTTTTTTTTTCTTTTTCTTTTTTTCACTCCACATTTAGATCTTGACATTCCTTACCTTTGGGCAACCCTCATTATGCAAGAAAAAAATAATACTAAACAAACTAACCTTGGGACGGTTAAAGAAATAACTCTTTTCCCAATGGAAATATCTGAAATTCCTCAGCAATACCATGAGAAACTAATCTTGAATTTGATCTGATTTTACAGGATGATTCATGGTTTCTGACTCAAGGAAAGTAAACTTGTTGATTATAATTTAGGTATTTCATCTTTAGCAAAGAGATGCTATTTATTTTGTTACATTCTCTCTAACCAAAAAGAAGCGCTTTTTTTTTTTCTTTTTTTTTTAATGAGTTGCCAATATGTTATGAATACTAATGGTTGACATCCCGTGCAGACAGAGTAAGACGTGGAAACTTCACTTCTTTCTCTGACCAAGCGCAGGAGGCAAGGCAGGACCTGGCACAGCTGGTGGAGCATGCAGTGCTGCTCTCGTGTCGAGAGGATGAAGGGACAACAAAGCATCCTCTCAGCTGCACTCCCCTGACCTCTGCTTTGGGTTGGCTCTGTCATTTTTTGTTGTTGTTGCTGCTTCAATGGAACTTCTTGGAACAGGCTGTGCATTTCTCTGGGTGAGGCTAAAGCACATGCCGTAACACAGCATTTCCAGTTTCCATGGAAGCAACGGGGCTGCTTTGATATCCTGGGTGAGGTCTTCTTGGTACTCTGTGGGATTTAATCACCCCACTGGCAGCTCTCCAGGGGAGCGAAATGCTCCGTCCAGTGACTGTCAGTCATTCCTCAGCCCGTGCAGTGTTTGTGCTACTACACCCAGATGTCCATCATCTCACAGATTTACAGGACATTTTTTGCTTGTGTGGTAACTGGAGCTACTTTCCATATCTCCCTTCCCTCCAGGTGCAGGTGTGACAGTGTGACTCCTGTTTCCAGGGGGAACGTGGCACAGCAAAACCACACAACCCCATAAGCTTCAGCCTCAAGAAAAGGAATGTGAAGTGGCCTCTGAATTACCCTCGCCTTGCATTTGCCCTCATTCATATCTGACCTGCCCAATTCCAGTACACCCACTGACGTCAGTGGCTTCACCTGTTTCAGGAACCACGAGGGCAATGTCTAGTACCTGTGTGCCAGCCCTGGGGGCACACCTCTGACACACACCAGCTGTCAGCTGAATTCGGGCACCCGGAGCCATGGGGATGCTGCACAGGCCTCTGCAGGAGCTGAGCTTTAAAGCAGCTGCCATCTAGGAGGGGGGCTGGCTGGGGTGCTGGGAGAGAACAAGAATATTAAATTAGGAATATTTTGTTATTGTTATCTACAGCGAAACAGCTATGCTCGCTGTTGTCATGCTGTAGCAGAAAGAGTATTGAATTATTAAATTCTGAAGACTAATTAATAGCAAGGATGCTAGAAAAGTCTGCAGCTAAAGCTTCAAAGCCTGCATGCCTGGAGTTGTGAACCACTGTCACCTGGCCTGGGCTTTCCATCATCCAGTTACACTGTTTGGCATCATATGCACATCCAAACAACACCTAAAATAATTACACAAACACACTAACCAGGCAGCAGAGAGCCTTTGCTAGCAGCAAAACACATCTGAAAGAATTTGATTTAAAATTGATCAGCAAAAAAATATAAAAATAAAACAAAAACCTCTTGCCAGCTGTTCCTTTTAACCAAGCCAATTCAGCACATGATGCAAAGCAGATTGCCCAAAGTGACACAGTCTGAATTTCTGATCTCTAGACTTGTCCTCTTCTTGACAAGTGCGACTGAAATCTAATTTAAAATGTTGTTGTTTCTGCAAGGTAAAGATCTTGCTGTAATTAAACTGCTTCTGTTGTAACTGTTAACTTTCTTAACTTGCTGATTCACTGCCATGCCTTCTTCTGTAAGCAAGGTCCAGAGAAATGATGAGATTGCAAAACAGCATGTGCTACAAGAATGGAATTTGCCTTTTCTGCTCAACCAGTGCTGCTTCAGCCAGAGCTTTGGGTTGTGCTGGCTGCAGCTCCCCACGTCCTGTAGGTACAAGATCCAGAGGGATCAGGAGCTGAGGGCGGTGGGAGGAGGCAACAGGAGGTCCTCAAAACCAAGGCTGCTGCTTGCAGCCGTCCACTCTTCCTCCTTCCCTGTGGGTATTTGCAACCTGTGGCCGCTCTGCAGCAGCAGCAGCCTGTCTGGCACAGTGGGTCAGCTTCAGGATGGATAAAACAAGCATCCCTGCTTGCTTGCAGCCCAGTCCCCATGGAAAGTCGACAGACAGTGTGGTCCATACCCCAGCAGGTTCTGATCTGTGCTGGAAGGCAGCAGGCTTACCAAGCACAGGGTGACAGCTTCCCTGCTCCCCGCTGTCCTGCCTAGCCCTGCTGCCCTGCACAGCTTCCACTCTAAAGCCATGTGCATTCCTGGGAGCATTTCAAGGGTTCAAGGAATTCAGAGGAGCTCTTCAGAGGGGTGAATATTGCCCTTTTTCGTTCAGATCTATTACCAAGCATTCACGCACAGCTGATGATAATAAGAAGTCTGCATCAAGATCCATCAAGGACAGAAAAACATTACCAAGGGTCAAAAAGTCACTTAGAGTCAAGGAATAAATGCTTCTTACCAGAATTAATAAAATTCTAAGGAAGGTGAGGAAATAGGCAACTATAAAGCACAAACTGGCATTTTATCAGAATATACTCAAATCACCATTTCTCACCTTGCTGCTGCCCTTTGGGGTGATCTTGTAAAACACCATCTCTGGCTTTGATGGAAGGAGGCATAGAGCTGAGATGAGACAAAGCTATGAAAACTAAGGCTGGGGGGGAGGGTTGCCTTTTGGATAAACGTACACTTAGCATTAAAAGAATGAAACAAACTTCTTGTGTGGCAAAAGGCATTAACATCCCTTACTGTTGAAAATTGTAGCCTGTGGCTCAGGAACACCATGCACCTGGGACTGCAGTACAGAACCAGAGCCCTATCCTGGACTCAGAGATGCTAACATTCAGCAGGTTATTCTCTTGAGAACTTCAAAAATACACAGCCCAATAACCATGGGGAGCTACACGTACCTTGTGCCTGATTATCCTGGGTTCCCATAACTATGACACAGAAGTGTGCACGGAAGCCAGCCCTGGCCGTGAGCTGGAGCACGTGGGCTCCAAGCACTTTCCTGTGACTCCGGTTCCCCTTACAGATGTGCCGTATCATGTGTTCACACCTGCAGGTATCAAATCAATTTAAGAAGGAACCTAATCCATCCCTATCAAAACTGTGTAAGCAGTGGCAGCATCCGCAGTTAGAGCAGTTTAGCTTACATTTATTTTACATTGAGGAAATTTAAGACAGTAAAAGAACATATTTTGGCTAGCCTTAATCCTTAGCAACCTCCTAATGATTTACACAGCTGCTCATTTCTGAAGGACGAATGCATCTCTCAGAGTAATGGTTAATATCTGTGAGAGAAACCCCCTTTTTTTTTTCCCCTAACAATATTTTCTTTGCCAGATTTTTTTTCCAGATGGAGACTGTTTGCTTGTTTGTTTGTTTGCTGTAAGTTGTACCCAATGAAGAGGTTAAGAAGGTTCTTGATTTTTTTATTTTATTTTTTTTAAGGAGGAGGGGAACTAACAAAGCTAAACCGAGGAAATCCAGGCAGCCAGAGATGTCTGGACTATCCTAAAATATGTCGTCCTGATTTCTGCAAAAACTATAAATTTCAAAAAGCTGCATTTGGTTGACAGAACATATCTAAGGGATAGAAATTTCTTTATCTTGGGTTCAAGGATGCTTCAGCCAAAGGACTTGTTTGAGATTTATTCCAAACTCTGCTTGAATATAATCTACTTCACCACATATCATCTGATAGCATAGAGGCTCAATAGAATTATTAGATAGTGGTGATTTTTGGTTCTTTCTGCGCCTTCTTGCTAAGTTTTTGATGCCCCATGGCTGGAGAGTTCAAACGCATGAGGCACCTACCTGTCTTGCCTTAATTTCAGTCTGTGCTATAGGATGAAAACAGCCTGAATGCTTCCTGATGGAAGCTCCATGCATTTGGACCAGCCCTCCTCTCCTTCTCCAGGACTCAGGAGCCAGGTTCCACACCAGAAAATCTGTCACCCCTCTCCTTGGCGCTGTGACAAGGGCATTGCTCAACGGCTGTCACTGGCTGCTGCTGTTCTGGCTGCTTTTCTGTACAGAAGTCACTGCTGCAGCATAGGCAGGATGAAGCCAGGAGCCCTCCCCACCTCGTTTCACTCACATCCCCCTGCCCGAGCTGCAGCCCAGCCTGTTGGGATTCCCTTTGGCATGGCCCACAAGGCACTATATGGTCACTCACCAGCCTTTTCCCCTTCCCCTCCTTCCTTCTGTTTCCTTTCCCAACCCCATCAGAGGTCTCTGTGCTATCTCACAAGTGAAGGTGATGGAGAACTGGCACCTCCACCCCATCAAGCACCACTCAGGAAAACCACGGCCACAGTGAAAAAGTCCACGGATGCAGCAGCTCCTTGTAAGGTCAGACCTTCACTCATCCAGTGGCAAAAATTATGGAATTTAGGCTGAAATTCAACTGGTGTAGTCAAGAAAAGTAGTGGGGATACAGGTTGGTAATTAGAAATGGATACAGAAGATTTCCTTTGAAGTGAAATTACAGCTTTGCTTTACAGTTACACTAAAATAAAAACCGAAGATCACCAAGGTGAAGGATCTTGCCTACTTGTTTGCACTGAATGAAAATGCACTCCAAAAAACACAAGCTTTCTCAAAGCTAAAAAGCATTAGCAAGAGGCTGCCAGCACAAGTTTTGTAAATGCTGTATGAGAAACATTTGAAAAAATATCATGCAAAGGTACAAGAGGTGGAGGTGAGGCAAGCCTCTTTCCTATCACTGGGAAGGCAAGTTGTATTTTCAAAGTGAAAATGGAAAATGTCCGAATGGGTATAAACATTTCCTTTTGTCAGGAATATTAGCAACTTGAATAATCTTGGACATGCTGAGCTGATCTTTTCTCTCGGTTGTTACTCCAGTTAAATCTCTGGATGGATCTGAGGGGTTTTCACCACCAAAAAGCAGAGTGTGGTCTAGCCCTCCAGCTCTGAGCCACCACTGCTACTGAATCCAAAAAGAAGGGGGATGAAATGCCAGCAGAGCAGACCCTGCTTTGGATTGCAAGCTGCTGTTATCTCACGGATGGAAAATAGCACAGTGCACGTTGGCCTGAGGACATCAGCCCTTCAGAAATTTCAACAAGGAAAGAGACAAACTTGAGAGGAGAAAGGGGACCTTGAAAGAAAAGATTGCAACTTGGAAATAAATTAAAATAAATAAATAAATAAATAAATTAAAAATTGTCTATGGATCCATCTGATCAATGGAAATAAGGAAAAAAGTGAGATAATCAGGCATGTGATGGAAGAGGAGACAGGTTGCTTGATAGCACATCTGAGGAAGATCTTCTTGTATGTTATGCTCTGTTCTGGCAGCATGACGAGGGGGGATTGCTGCCAAAGAGGAGGATAGCTGGAGTAGAAAAACAAACAGAAAGGATAGGAAGCGTGTCAGGTTTGACTTGTGCAGCCTCATCCTGGAAAAAAAACCACACTAACACAGAGGTCCTAGCGTAAGGCAAGGTGATAGTCTGGATGCAAACCAGTGAGGGCTCCAGTAGAACCACAAGAGGGAAAAACGGCCAGTATTTGGGACCGAAAGCAGGACAGAGGCGTGGGACTGGGCCACCAGGCTCCTCCCAGCACGGCCCTCGCCCTGCTGCGTGCGCTGCCGCCCACCTCGCTGGTGGACGGGCTGATGGGATCCCCATTCCCACACTTTCCAACATACATCTGCAAATCCTAAGAGGGACAAATGCAGACCAGCTGCCAATTGGCCTTGCAGATTTGAGGGCTAACATCCAGTTGGCGGCCCGCGGGTTATTCGCGCTGGAACAGGAAGCAAACTTCTTGCTGCAATTACCCTCCAATTTCTACTGTTTACCCCAGGAATAAACTAATTGCTGCTGTAAAACACCCCTCCCACCAGGTCCACGAGGAGAGCATGGAAGAAACGAATGTCAGCCAGTTGGTCAGTGGCCAAACGACTGGCCAGCAGCCAACTGGCATCCCATGGCTTGTTTGCAATGGAGGAGGGCTCGAGTGCCTCACTGCCGATAACCTGCTGGGCATTTTCTCCTGCATGCACTGAACGTCACATGCTAAATCAGTGTTTCCCTGGCAGCTTGGCAGAAACACAGAAACCAGCGCAGGTCTTCATTCTCCCACTGAACGAGGTGAATTCATGCGATAGCTATGCAAAGCGTCTGAAAGGGATGTGCAAGCGAGCTGGGAAAGGCTTAAATAATCCCCATGGAGATGTACAGTGGGCACCGCTCGGTGCTTCAGCCCTAAATGTCAGCTCCCACTGCATCCATCAAGTCTCTTTTCTTCTTCTAGCAGCTTCGCAGAGTGCCCGTGCCAGCGAGGTGGCTGGCAGGAGAGCTGGCTGGCACGATGCTGTGTGCCCAGCTCAAACCCCTTTTACAGGGCTGCCTCCTAATTGCCGTTCATGCCATAATCACTCCTCTATTTCTGGCTTTCTAAATTCTGCTTGCAGTGAAAAAGCCAAATTTGGACAGCGGGAGTAAATATCACTTGTTTTTCCCTTCAGTGTTGTTATCCCAGCAAAGCGGAACAACAAAAGTGAGTGAGTCACCATGGCGCTTTGCAAAATATCCCAGGAAAAGTGTTTGTCTGAAAAAGTGAGAAATCCAGACCCAGGGGAGGCAACAGGATCCTCCGGGGCCTCTCAGAAATTATAGGGATGGAATATTCCAGAGCGGGTGGGCAGTGATAAGCAATAAAAAGCAGCGAAGGCCAGAGCTGAGCTTTGCCTGGTGGATATTAGCAGTTGTATGGGATTGCAGGCCTGGCTGTTCCTCAGTTTCCACAGGTCCCTGCACCAGCCCCTGCTGCGGGCTGAGATGCTCTGAGCACCTGCACCCTGCCAGGAGAGGTGCTGGGACTGCCCCGGTACCTCTTGAGTAGGGGCACAGAAACCCTGCAGGTGCAAAAAGGCTGCTAGAAAATAAAAAAAGAAATAAGAAATAAATCCAAAGGAGGATATGGGTAAAAAATTACCCAACCCAGTTAACCCTAAAGCCAACCTTGCGTCCTTCAAATGGTGCCTTGTGTCACTTGTTCTTAACACTGCAAGCACCTTAGCCTGGGGTTTTTTCTTCATCAGATGTATAAGTTCCCTTAAAACAAAACAGAAAAACCCACAATAGAACCTATGTACATTGCTGCAAGACTGTAAAATTTAATAGCAAACAGATTACATACTTAGCAATAGACTAAGCACAATTAGGCCTCACATTCCTCTCACTCCTATAAATAACTCTCAGTTTCCTCTCCATGTCTGCAAATTTCATTAGTATGATGGAAAGAAAAGAAAAATACACACACACACACACACAAAAGCCCCAAGCTCCCTTTTCTTGCAAAGTCCAGAGCCGATCTCTCAATCCAGGGCTTTGTTCAGCCTGGGGGAGGGAGCGGGGGAGTTAAACGCCCACCCCACCACCCTCGGGCCATGTGTTCCTGGCCACGAAGGGAAAATTTTCTGCAGATGGCTTAGGAATTCACCTGCAAGAAACAACAAAAAGAAATCCCCCTGCCTTGCCAGTCCATGCATGCAACCTGCAGCTCGGGCTCTGCGGATGGGGCAGTCCCCGAGGGGATGCTGCCTTGGGAGCATCCTCACCGCTGTCCTGGGAGCATCCTCACCACTGACTGTCCTCGACACCCTGGGGACTCACAGCATCAGGGAGGAGGGATGACATTCCTACATCAAATCCATCCCCCAAATTCCTGTGCTGTATGCATGCCCTCTTTACAGTCTGTGCCCAGGCTTCAGTGGGAAGGGAAATTTTCCTGCAGTCCAGATTCAGGTGTGAATTTCATACCCGATAACGGAGACAACTCTGCAACTGTTCACTGATTATTCAAAGCCCAAAATTTGGTACAATCCTGCGCACATCTTCTACATCTGCATCTTATCCTCCCTGAGCTGAGAGCCAACAAACAGCCTGTGCACTTGGTGAAAGTAACTATGGGTGTGAATGTGAATGTGAAAGTAACTGTGGGGTGTGAGTGTGTAGTGCTGGCCTCTACTTTCCATCCACTGGCCTGAAATGACAGCAGCTTAGTTATTAAGAGAATAAATATCTAAAGGGTTCTTCTTAACTGGAGGGAAAAATTGGGAAAAGTAAATTATTATATAATTATACAATGATTATATACTAATGATTAATAATAATTATTATTAATGATAATAATTAATAATAATAGTAGTAGTAACAATAATAATAAAGATCCAGCCTAGACAGGACTGTACAAAGCTTTGGAAGCTCAATGTAGTCAGCACCATGACTTAGCTGACATAAATTGGAGGTGTTTCTTCAGGTCCTCATGTTTCCAGCGCTGTTGTGTTACACTGCCTGGCAATTTTCACCTAGGGTCATTTCACATAAGTCAAAATAAGAGTGGCTGAGGGGCAGGGTAGCCAGGACTAATGGGTTTATGCCATGAAGAAATGGTGGCAGTGGCATCCCAACATCCACATGATAATGTGGGGAACATGAGACGATTTGTCCCATTGTAGGGTATCTGAAACTCCATACCAGGGTAAATGTTAATTGTTAAAGCTCCTGTCATGTTTTGCAGGAGAGAGATTTGGAGAGTTACACCCATGACAAGCTCTCAAAGCCAAAGCTGGTGTTTGCACAGTGCAAGACTTACATTGTACAAGGCTGAGCTGCTGGGACACGGGGCTGAAGGAGCCCAGACAGGCAGACAGCCTCGGCCCTGAGTCATTTCAGCACAAAGCTCCTCTCCGCAGTGTTTGCAGTGCTGTTTGTGTGTTGCATCCTGAGCTGGCCCTGGGAGCTGGGACCATGGCTGCTGCCACCTTTACACCACCCGTGTGGCAGTGGCAGGATGCCCAGCTGGAGCTACCACCCCTTCAGCCTGTGTTCAGCTAACTGGGCTCTGTTCCTCTGGGCATCCTTCTTGCTCCTTCATAAGCCACGTCAGAGGTAGGGGGAGAGAAACAGGGTGCTGAGAGGTTTTCTCCCTTGATAGCAGAGATGTCTTTATTTTCCTTCCTATATGTTCTCAGCTCACACGTTAATACCTCGAAGTATGTTGCACAAATAATAAAACCCATGCAGTTGAATGAATTATTTGCTCTTTCTGTAAGAAAAAAAAGCAAGATTTCTTTCCCTTCCCTTTCCTTCCCACACCCTTCTCCTTTCATCTTTTGAAGAAAAATCCATATAAGAAATGATGGGCAGCCGTCCAGGAATAATGAGACAAAGATGATAATGTAAACCTCAGAAGAGAAAGAGCTGGCTATTGCAGTCAGACTTTTTGCATTTGCAGTGCTATATACAGCCAACAGAAAGAAACACGGCCTGTCAAGCATGTAAAGCAATCCAAGATACATTAAAAGAGCATGTATCAGCTGAATGTAAGGCAAAGACACGCACCTAAGTCTCCATTTAGGTGCTAAAATGTAAGCACCCCAATGCACTCAGCTCTCAGAAGAGCTGAGCTGAGCATCTATAGGTAGGTCCCAAGTCAACAGGTAGACTCTCCCAAAATTTTTGCTTTTTGTCTTTAGGATTTCTCATCAAAATCATTGCCAGCCTCAAAAGGGGAGCACTTACCAGCTCGTATTTTGCCACTTTCCTCTTTTTTTATGTCAGAACCTCAACAACACCAATTTAAGCCTCACACTGTTATCTTGCTCAGACTTTATGAATCCCATTAACTTTTTACCAAAGTGAAATAATTGCCTAGCTTTTTCCTGCCTTCAGTCCATTGTTGTTTTAGTCTCCGGTGGCCGGAGGATGCTGAGATTGAAAGATCCAGATGAATCTAAGGAGTTAAGGGCTGTAAAAGCCTATTGTTCTGCCTCAGCCTTTAATGAGTTCTTACCCAATCTATTACTTTGCTCATCTCTCCACTCCTATCAGCCGAAGAGCAACGCTGTGTGTCTGCAAATAATCAGGTCCTGGTCCTAAAGCCCATAATGAGTTCATCCCAATGCAAAAGACACGTTATCTCTAATGTGCTAAAAAGCCAAATTGCTGCGTACCTTTGAAGCAGTGTACAGTTCCAATCAGCGGTATTGAGGAAATGAATCACTTGCGGAGCCACAC